ATATATATATATATGCAAGTTTCAACATGCAGAAATCAGCCTGACGCAACATAGAACCTTACAAAAACAGTGAATAGTTCCACTAAGAATGAAAGACAAATGAATTGGACGAGATGATATAAGATTTAATCATGAACTCAAGCTCAATCTGCAATAAGTACACTGCAGATAGTCATACATCTAGCTCATTATAGTTCAACAAACTGAAGGCATATAACTTCAGCATCAGTCAATTAATGTTCAAGGCAACATCAAGATCACTAAAAAAAGAGAATATATAGCGATCACTACCTGAGAACAAGCTTCTTGATACCTGCCAACAGCACAAAGAAGATGTGTTCCAGACAAGGACCGGTCTGTTCTCACCATATTGGCAGCAACAACCTACACAAGCATCACAACAAGGTGATTTAACAAGGATGACATTACAAAGAAAAAGAAGGAATTTATCTGAAAACATAAAATGAAATATTGAAAGGAAGAAGCACCTTCACGGCTAGCTCAAGTAAAGACGTTGATACAGCTGAAGAAAGGGCAACGGCACGCAATGCATTTGCATAGAAATACGAACTCTCTGGAGGTGTGGAGAGCAGTAAACTAACTGCAGCTTCTAGGTTCCCAATCGATACTAATCTGGTAACCAGAAACAAAACCGTCAAACCAAACTGTTGATTATTCAACAAGTCAAGATCAAATGACAGTCACCTAATTAATTCCTTGGAAAGATCAGAAGTTAATTGCCATAGATGAAAATCTTCATTCTTGATTCCTTTAAATGTTCTGTTGTTCCTAAAGAGAGCAATAAATGATATTGGTTCTATTGCTTCACTAGTTTCAGGGACTGGTGGGATTTCCTGGAACATTTGCAATAATAGATTTGTGAAATTGTTTCGTATTTAACGGATAAATACATATTCTGCCTCCTCCCCCCTCCCCAAAAAAAACTTGTACCGAAATCCCTTTGACACAACCCTCCTTCACAAATATTCCCACACTAAACCTTTCACCAACTACGTCTAATACACCACTTTGGTGTCACGTATCAATGGCGTCTGACACGTTTCATTAACTTTTAAAAAAAATTTAAAATTGCTACACCCATTTTCTTCATCTTCCCAC